CAATGACCAGGGCCGAGACGCACCTACAGCAAAATTATGTTGTTCCATAAACACGGTGTTTGGTTGGCGTTTAGATCCGGAGCGGGGAGAAGCTCGGGGTGAAACCGTAGGGGCGGTGGGAGGACGGACACAGTGCGGGGCTGCAGCGCTGCCCGGCCCCGACGGCGAGGGTTGCCCGGAGGGAGAGTGTGCGGGCACATATACCCGCATAGACAACCGCATCCCTGCGGGGGGGCCCAGGGGAGGTGGTTTGTGCCTCCCCGCGCCCGCCCGCGGTCCCCTGGGGCCGGGCGGGGAGCGGGACCGGGGCCGCGGGGCAACCCCGGCGTCTCCGCCTGGCTCGGAGGGGCGCGGGGGAGGGGGGCGTGTGTGTATTTGGGGGTGTCTCTCCCAGGAGGAAAGGCCTCGGAACGTGGAAAATCTGCGCCTGGATGAAATGCGAGCTCAGCGGGAAGGGCAGCGCGCAAAGAGCGCGGGGGGCCGCGGGGATGGGGGGCAGCGCGGGTTCCGCGGGGAACGGCGCCTCGTCCCTGCGGCAGCCCAGAGGGCTCGGGGGGGTCCCCGAAGTTGTCTTTCCCCCGCACGGCGGAAAGTCCCGCGGCCGCGGAGCGCCGGCCGCCCCCAGCTTGGGTTTCCCTAAAGGCGAACTGGGGCTAAATAATGGATCGATCTAAAATTAACCGGAGGAATGGAAATGCTCTAAAAATAAGCCAGCAGCTGCCGTGGTCGCAGCCCCCCGCTCCCGTGGGGAAGGGGGAGTGGGGCCGGCCGGAGGAGGGGGCGCGGGCAGGGCCGGGCGGGCTGCGCGGGGCGGTGCGAGCGATCCCCGCAGATCTCCGCGGGCGCGGGGCTGCCGGCGGGGCGGGGGCAGCTCCGCACCTCGGCGCGGACGCAGCCCCCCAAAACTCCGCCGCTGTCCAACCGGCGATTTTAATTTTCCTTTGCATTTATATATTTTTAATTATTTTTATTTGAGCTCGGAAGCGCCTGGGGGAGCGGCGGGTCGCCTCCCCCGGCATCACCGGCCCGGCCGGGGGGCGGTCGCGGGGGCTGCGGAGCGTGTGCGGGAGCAGCCCCGCAGCGCCGAGCAGGGAGAGGGTCCCGGCCCGCTGCGAGCCCCTCCGCGCACACACACGCACACACACTCACACTCACACACCTCCTCCTCTTCCCTCCTTTTTGATCCATGCAGCGATCCCATATCCTCCCGGCTTGTCTCTTTTATTCTTTTGTACTGAGGCGCGTTGTCCTGGCCAGCAGTGTGAACGGGGGCTTTGTAAAACGGGACAGATAAAAATGAGCAACATCATATTGTTTGACAGAATGATCCAAAATGATAAAATGCCTTCTCCGGAGGGGGTGAAAATGGTGAATTCCTAAAAAACAAGAGCGTCGCTTCTCTCCTCAGTCTCCCTGCGCTGCTCGCTGTAGCCTAAAGGGATCTGCCGCCTGCACCAGCCCGGATCACGTCCAGCCACTCTTTTCAATGGGAAGTCTCTTTTTAAAAGCCTTCATTTATTTATTTTTAAATAAATAAAGAAGGGGGGGGAGCGACTTCGTCTCGGGACCCCCCGTTCTCCTCGCGGCGAATGAAAAGCACAATTTTCGAGAGAAAGGCTCGTTTTGATTAAATCTGACATGCTGCTGATAACTCCATGCTAATGTGAAATAATTAACATAATAGCCATAATTAAAAGCACGCTAACAATGCCATAAATTTATCACACAATTTTACTAGCTTTCTGCCCCTAACTGCTCTCTCATCGTTAATTAAACGTGTTGCCTTTTACGGAATGAATGTTTATACATTTTCAATACAAATAAATCCGAAGCCGTTTTGGAAACATGACCAATTTCGTTTTACACTGAGATCTGCCGGGTTTACGGGCGATTTATTACAATTTAAAAAAAAAAAAAAAAAAAAAAAAAGAAGAAGACAAAAAGAAAAGAAAAAAGGAAATTAAACCTGTCCAGATAGAGGCCTAAAAAAATAGGGGAGAAAAAGATATATATATGATAATCTGCATCTTTAGCGAAAAGGCTGGCTGGAGGGGGGGTCCAGGCGCCGCCACTCGACCAGCACCGACCCCGTCCCCGGTCCCAGCCCCGGTCGGGGGATGTCTGTGTGTCCCTGTCGTGTCCCTCCCCTTGGATATGTTTATTTTACAGGGATTTCTCACCCGCGGCCCCTCTCCTGCGAGCCCCTTTACCCCCGCACGTTTGTACCGAACGACAATGCTGGTTTAATCCAGGTCAGGTCAACGATTTATATAACTCATTAGTGAAAGTAATAGGCTTAAGGAGCTGAAAGGGGACACCTTTGGTTTCTCCTTCCTTTAAAACGATTACAGAAGCAGAAATTGCCCCAGCCCTGCCTTTCCTCCTCAAACCCCCCCACCCCCGAGGCTCAGCCTCTGGATTTATTTTTAACTCGCTTCGCAGCCAGTATCTTGCTTTGCCATATTAGAATCAAATTGAGTTGTAATTAATTTCTCCGTCTCTATCATAACTTATTCCATCCTCCCTTTCCACGCTGCTCTGCCGTGTCTCTATTTGACTCCGTATCGATCCAGACGATACAGTTTGTTTTTCTCCTGTTGCTAAATCTATCTGTCTATATGGGCGCCCACTTTCTATTTCTGGCCGTGTCATTATTGTGGGTTTCCACCTCCACAGAAGCTGCTTTAATTATTTTATCGCTTTGCAGGACGCAGTTCCTGCTCCCGCTCCCCTTCAGCCCTTGAACTTCGATGGGTTAGGGCGCTCCCGAGATATTTGGGGAAAACTTTCCCGATTTTTAGAAAAGATTTTCTCCCTCTCCACTCCGGCTGGATGGGCTTCTAAATACTTTCTAACGGGGTGGGCTCCAAAATACTGCCCTAAACTTCACTAGATGAAGGCCTGGAACCGCAACAGCGCCCGCGGAGGGGCGCGGAAAGGCGCGGAGCGGGGCGGCCCCGCTCAGCCGGCAGCCGTGATTGAACACGGGATTAGCACAATAGAGCCCTAATCGAGGGGAAACGTTTCTTTTCACGCTAAGCACCGTAATTAATGGTATGAATCAATTAATTTGACTTTTATTGTGTCGAAGAACAGCGCAACAAATGGAACGGGGGGCTGCGGAGTTGGGGGTTTTTCTCCTTTTTCCCTGGGAGAGCCTTTGCGGTGAGACGGGGGGGACACATAACGGGAGTGTGCGAGTGCTGCTGTGGATATGTGAGTCTGTGTGTGTGAGAGGGTGGTGCGCGGGCGCGGAGCCCAGGGTCATGGTCCACGGGGCGCGGAGATCCACTGGGAAACGCGGAAAAACGGAGTGCAAGGGGAAACCAGTCTGAAAGTCCCCCCCATCCTCCCCGCGGCCCCTTCTGCGGGGTCGGGCCCGCCCGCAGCGATCCGTCGAGGCTCTGGGAGAGGCCGGGACATCGACCTTAGCGAGACTCCGATGGATTTTGGGGGAAGGGAGGGAATTGCCTTCCTAAGCCAGCACCGCTCGTAGGAAATCGTTCGCTCCTGGGACATTTTTCTAATTTAATTGCATTCACCGAAATCGGACAGCACGTGGGAGAACTACAAGAGTAAAAGGCTCAGCGGGACGGATTAAAAAGCCAAACATCGTGAGCCACCCGTGGCCGAGGGCCCGGGCGGGGGGTCCCGCACCGGAGCAGGGGTGGGCGGTCGAGCCCCCTCCCGCCCCGCCGGGCGCCTCTCCCCGGGCCGGGGCTTACCTGGGGCCGCGGCAATACGGTCCTCACATTCACACACACTCCCTCATTTCCTACTTTTTCTTACGCTAAGGCCCGCAATGATTAAGTCGTTAATACCTCTGGAAAAAAAAAAAAAAAAAAAAAAAAAAAAGAAAAAGAAAGAAGAAAGAAAAAAAAAATGAAATAAAAAAAAAAAAAAAAAAAAGAGAAAAAAGAAAAAAAAAGAAACCGGCTAAAAGGGTCTTTATTTATAGTTTCCCTTTGTTATTTTACGTCTTTTTTATTTCTCTCTGCAACTAAGTTAATAGATTAATCAATAGCCATTCTCTGATCTTCCGTTCCCAGCTGGTGGTGTGCTGCTAGAAAAAAAAAAAAAAAATTAAAAAAAATTAGAAAACCACAGAAAAGTGGTTTCTGAGCCCAAACTTGGTGCTTTTAAGCGCTATGACGGCGGCGCATCCGCCGAGCCTGCGCTGCCGAGCGCACCGAGAGCGGCGGCTCCGGGCCCGGCGCACCGAGAGCGGCGGAGGCGGCGACGAGCCCCCGGTGCGGCAACTCGTCCGCGGGGGCCGGAGGGTCCCGGTGCCGTCGGGGGCCGTCGGGGCGGGCGGAGCGGAGCCGCCGCTGGTCTTTGTTGACAGTCCATGAAACAACTCGAGTTTTGCATGACTTCACAGCGGGGCGCCTGACGTCAGGCGGTCACGTGGAGCCGCCTCCGAGTATATCTTTAACGGGAAAGTAATCTATCAGGCAGTCGGGACCGCCGCGCTGCCAAAGTGGCGAGCGAGGCCCCGCGACCCCCGGCCTCCTGCCCCCGCCCCGCCCGGCCGCCGGGAGCTCCGTCCCCTCCCTCCGCCGAGGGGGGGAAAAAAAAAACAACCAGCAAAAAAAAAACAACCCAGAGGAGAGGAGGAAAGAGGGAAGGAAAAAAAAACCCCATCCATCCAGCGCGGAGGGCGGCGGAGCGGTGCGCGGCGCCGCGGCCGCGGAGCGGAGCGGTGGAGCGGCGGCGGCCCGCGGAGCGGCCCCATGCGCGGCGGGCGCGCAGCGCGGCGGGCGGGACCCAGCGGAGCGGCCGCCTGAGCCCCGATGCCCGGCGGCGGGAGGTGACCCGGCGGCCAGCGCAGCCCCGCGCACGGGAGAGCGGCGGGCGCGGCCGCCCCATGCCCCGCGGGGACGGCCCCATGCCCGCTCGGGTGTAGCCCCCGGGGCCGGTCGAAGCCGCGGCGGGAGCGGGGCGCGGGGGGACCCCGGTGCGGTCGGGAGGCCCCGCCGCCGCCGCCCCGCCGAGCGGGGATGACCCTGTCGGGCGGCGGCAGCGCCAGCGACATGTCCGGCCCCGCCGTCCCGGCGGCCGAGGATGTGGATATCGACGTGGTGGGCGAGGGCGACGACGGGCCGGGCAAGGACAGCGAGGGCGAGGCCGGCAGCCCCGCCGCCCTGCCGCGCCTGCCGCTGGACGAAGCGGCGGAGCTGGCGCTGCCCGCGGAGCCGGGCGCGGGCGCGGAGAGCGGCAGCAGCGGCAGCGGGAGCCCGGCCGGGGCGGCCCCCGGCGGCGCGGCCGAGGGCGGCAAGGGGGGCGGCGAGGAGGGGGCGAGCGGCGGCGGCGGCGGGGCGGCGGGGCAGAGCAAGCCCAAGAGCAGCCTGGTGAAGCCGCCCTACTCGTACATCGCCCTCATCACCATGGCCATCCTACAGAGCCCGCAGAAGAAGCTGACGCTCAGCGGCATCTGCGAGTTCATCAGCAATCGCTTCCCCTACTACCGGGAGAAGTTCCCCGCCTGGCAGAACAGCATCCGCCACAACCTCTCACTCAACGACTGCTTCGTCAAGATCCCCCGGGAGCCCGGCAACCCGGGCAAGGGCAACTACTGGACGCTGGACCCGCAGTCCGAGGACATGTTCGACAACGGCAGCTTCCTCCGCCGCAGGAAGCGCTTCAAGAGGCACCAGCAGGAACACCTGCGGGACCAGACGGCTCTCATGATGCAGGGCTTCGGTGCCTACGGCCTGGCCGGCCCCTATGGCCGCCCCTACGGGCTGCACCCCGGCGCCTACACGCACCCCGCGGCGGCCGCGGCCGCGCTGCAGTACCCCTACATCCCTCCGGTGGGGCCCATGCTGCCGCCCGCCGTGCCGCTGCTGCCGTCCAGCGAGCTCAGCCGCAAAGCCTTCAACTCCCAGCTCAGCCCCAGCCTCCAGCTGCAGCTCAACAGCCTGGGCGCCGCCGGCTCCATCGTCAAGTCGGAGCCCAGCAGCCGCCCGTCCTTCAGCATCGAGAACATCATCGGCGTCCCGGCCGCCAGCTCGGCCGCCAGCGCACAGACTTTCCTGCGGCCGCCCGTCACCGTGCAGTCGGCCCTGATGGCCCACCAGCCGCTGGCGCTGGCCAGGACCACCGCGGCCATCGCCCCCATCCTCAGCGTGCCTACCAACATCATCGCGGGGCAGTTCCTGCAGCCCGCAGCCCCCGCCGCCGCCGTGCAGGCCAAGTGGCCGGCGCAGTAGCCCCGGGCGGTAGCCCCGGGCATCGCCCCGGAGGGCTCCGGCCGCCCCCTCGGGGCTCCGCGGCCGCTGGGGCTCGGGGCGGCAGCGGGCACCGGCCACCGCCGCTTGTACATATTTGTATCAAAAATCACTGACGTTGCTTTCGGGGTTTTTATTTTTCTAAAGAGGCGAAATGACGGTCGCGATTAAGGAGCTGCGAACTTTCACTTTTTTTGAAGGTTCCGGCGCTCCGAGCGGTTTTATCCGAAATAAACGAACAAACGAGAAAACGAAATTGTACAAAAAAATAAGCGGGGGAAATTTTAAGTATTAAACGAACGAACAAAAAAAAAAAAGAGAGAGAATTTTGGAGAAAAAAAAAAAAAGGGAGGAAAAACGCTGTCATTCTATTATAGAAGTCTGTTTATATATGAATGAATATATGTATTCTAAATGTTATCCCTTCGTGTTGTACACAACTTTGTAAATAAATTTTTAAAATGCTCTGCCCGTCTCTGTGTGAGCGGCTCCTCTGTGACCCCCCGCTCGCAGGACGGGATGCGCGGCCGTGGAGAATCGCGGAGGGGGGAGAACAGCGCGGGGGGCGGCCGCGGAGCTCAGGTTCTCCATCCCCGCGGAGGTTTGGGTTCCGCAGGTCGCAACGCGGGGCGGTGCGGGCGGGTTTCCCAAGGAATCTCCCGCCGCTCGGGATGTGCTTTGCGCGGCCGCGCAGCGAAAGCCACCGGCCCTGCTTGTTACCGGAGCAGCCGCCGCGGCGGGGCCAACATCGCACCGATTCTTCCAAAATCAAACCTTCCCCTGCAGATCCGAGGCTCCCTCAACCGCGCCGTGGTGATGTTTCCCTAAATATATACATTTTTCTCGGCCTGACTTCGGCTCCGCATCTCGACGCTGCGGGATTCCCGGCCGGAATTGGTACGCTTTGGGTCGGCGTTCGGGGCTAATTATAAGGAAAATTATTTTGCATAAAACACGTTGGGTCAGTTTAAGCAATGTTTATTATTTATTTTGTATGAAAAAAAATTATATATATTCAAGTCGTGCCCGTGCGGTGTCCGAGCGCGGATCTTTCGTTTTGATCAGGAAAATTATCGCTGTTAATGCAGCGGCTCTTCCCGCGGGAAGGAACTGGCCTTTCCCAGCTAATTCCTAAAAACTCTGCTTTAACGGCAGCTGCGAAAATTAAAAAAAACAATAGATTCAAGTATATTTTCGGGGCTAAAGTAAAGAGCCGGCCAAGAGGGAAAAAAAAAGAGAGAGAATTAATATGTAGTGTCATAATATTTAAAGCAGCGCTTTGTGGTGTTGAACCTGGAGAGATCTCGGTCTCTCCTGTGCACTGACAGTGTTTGATACTTCATTATCTTCTTCTTACAACGTGACATTTTTTGTCACCTTTGAAAACCTTCGTGGATTTTGCTTTTCCGCCCAAATAATTCGTTGTCTTTGTTAGGAAAATCGGTGGCGTGAAATGCAGGCGGGATGCGGCAGGCTCGGCTGCGGGAGAAGCTGGACCGGGCGCTTATTTCCCTTCCAAAAACCCGCTGGCAGCCGCGAATTTAAAATAAATATATAAATAAAAGTGTCCTTGCTTTCCTGGTAAGCAGTAAATATTATTTCTTCCTAAGTAAATATTTATACCTCCGCATACATAGACTAAAATAAACCGAGCAGCCCCGGTGATGAGATCGTTTGAACTTTATAAATAAGGACTCGCTAATCATCTGCCAGGGACAGGGAGAACCTGGAGAGAGTGGGGACACGCGGGGCCCTGCACGGGCACCCACGGCCCCGCGGAACCCCACGGAGCGGAATGTGGCGGTGCGTGGCGGTGCCAGAGGAGCGGGTTGTTTCACAGTTGTGTCTGGGTAATCGGTTTTACACAAACAGCAAATGGTGGGTGATCTGTGCGATTGAGGGGGTTTCTATATTTAGCGGATCCCCTGGGAAAAAAGGAAGGAGCCTCTGCCCGGAGTCACTGTAAGGCTCAAGAAGCTGCTGATCCAGGGCTTCCAGAGGACACCGGATAACAGGGGCTCATTCCATTCCCCAGCCTTTGTTACTTATAAAATTACTCGCTCATATTTCCCCACATAGCAGCAATACCTCGGCTCGGCATCTGCGCGGCGGCGGCGGCGGCATCGGCAACTTTCCTCCCGCTGCCTCCCATCGGGAACCGCTTCTAGCTCCGTTCCCTCAGTCCTCTCTTTCTCTCCCCCAGTCTTCCCTCGATCGTCGAGGACATCGGCTGCCAGGAGAAGCCTTTCCCCGGGAAGGGGCGACGGCGGCGGCGGCCCCCGGGGCCGGGCAGCACCGGGAGGGCGCGGGGCTGGGGAAGGACCGCGGTGAGACCCCCGCCCAGCCGCCCCCTCCCCGCGGGAGCCGCCGGGTCCCGCAGCCGCGGGGCCGAGAGAGGCAGCGGGTCCGTGCGGGCGGGGGAGGCTCCCGGTGGCCGCGGGGCTGCAGTGGCGCACCGGGGCCTGCGGGGGGCGCGGCAGGTCCCGCTGCACCCGCGGGAATGGACGCGCCCCCCCGGGACCGGGAGCATCCCGCATCCCCCGGAGCCCGGAGCATCACTCGGGGTTGGGATCACCCTCACAGCCCCCGGGGCCGGGAGCACCCCGGGGAACCGGGAGCACTTCAAGGGTATGGGAGCACTCCCGGTGTCTGCAGCCGCCCCCGGGACGGCACCGAATGGGCACAAAGCTACCGGTGGGGCTCGGCGGTCCCGGGGGTGCCAGAAATCGGTTCCCATATAGGGGAGGGTTTGCAGCCGGGACGGGAGCGGCTTTCCCGCAGGGTGCTGCCCAGAGGAGTGGGCGCAGCCTTCACAGCCGGACTGGGAGCGGCGGGCCGGGGGCAAACGGGAGCACCATGTCCTGGCGAACTTTCCTCAGCCACGGGCCTCAGCCAGACCACAGAAACTCTTTTCCTTGTTCTTTCTCTGCTTTTCCCTTCCACGAACTTGTCCGATGCATATGGCACAACTTGACACGGCCGGTGACAGATGCCCATTAGTGTAAGTCGTGTCACGTCGGTCCCTGGGGTGTGTTGGAAGTAACTAGATCCGAAACACCGCGAAAATGACCCTCCTCGCAGCCCAGAGAGTTTACCCAGAGCCACCTCCACTCCGCTGACACTTTCCCCCCTTGCTTATTGCAATTACGACCCCGCCGCTCCCTCCGTCCGGGGAAGGAATGTACGATAGGATCTGGCCCTAATCCTCTAAACCATCACGTTGGTTGAAAAAGGGACGAGATGGGCTCATCAGGGCCATTTCCTAGGCTCCCGAGGAACTCTCGTCTTTCCCTGCGCGGCCGCGGGAGTTGCGCCCCCTTTTCCCCCCCACTCCGCTCTGCCGTCTCCCAGCACCGTCTATTTATAGCACCACGGTCTGTTCCCGGGCAGAGCGCGGGGCTCAAAGTTACGGGCTGACGGGGCTAATGGGTGTTGAGAGGCTGCGGCGAGCGTTGGAAAAGGCAAGGAAAGATCTTCTGCGGACACTGTGCATTTATCGCGCGTGGACGTTGTTCCTCTGTAAGGAGCCCCCTCCGCCCCCAGTCCCCTGGCTCGGCACAGCCGTGTTCCCGGAGGGGTAGCGGTCGGAGACCCCTCTCCGGAGCTGCGGGACGGTAGAACTGAGGCCCGGTTTCCCGGAGGAAACACCGTCGGGAGCGCTCCGGGGGCACCAAGGGAGGGATGCCCATCGGACACCTTCCTTCTCGGTCTGTCCCGCAGGGAGGTGGCCGGAGAAAATCATCCACTGGGGACATCGAACCCCTTTGGGATACGGTTCCCTGTTCCTCGAGGGTTACTGATTTGGGTCCGCGCCGGCTGTACCGGGGGCATTTAACCGCCCACCCCCCGCATATCGCAGCGCTGGCCGACTCCCAGCGCTCCCTCCGACTCTGGGGATGCGGCTCTCCTGGGCCAGAAATAAAGGAAGGGGGGCCAACATTTCGCTTTGGGAAGCGCCATCCCTCGTCCTTCATTGGGCTCTCGGGAGTCTCCCGCTCCGGGAAAGACACAAGGACTTCCTTTTGCGGGGGTGAAGATTTTTTCTCCCGCCTGCGGGTGCGGGGCAGGGGGGCAGTTCCCAAGGGAATTCGATGGGATTTTGCCTCCTGGGGCAGCTCGGGCAGTTTTGTGGACTCTTCCTCGTGTCCGAGGCGCACGGGGGTCCGACCCCGCGGGGTCAACTCGACCCGGGAGGCGGAAAAACGGCCTCGCCATTCCGAGGGGGACTTTATTGGTGTTAGAAGGCAGCCGGTGACAAATCACAGCGAGCTCCACGCGCAAGTTGCGCTGCCCATCCCCGCGGATCTGGGCGCGGGAACGGGCATTCCCCGGGGCGGCGACTGATGCGCTCCCGCTTAAACCCCCGCCCGGAGCCGCGAGCATCCCTGTCATCCCTCCCCGAAGTCTCCCTTCCCACCGCCGTGCCTTTTCCCCGAGCCGGGAACTGCTGCAACTGGCCAAACACCCTCATGCAGTTTTCTTGGGAGACAACACTTCTATTTCGGGGGCTTTCACTGAAATTACGTGTTACCAGTGCTAAAACATAAAGCGTTATGTACTTAAAAGATGCAGAGCATAGGTATTACATCCACAGGAAGTATTTTAGTCAGTGAATGTTCAATGTAGCAGGTAGAGATGAACTTAGCACGTCTTCCAGACTGAACTGGGAACAGACTCTTCAGCCATAAAATGCACTTAACAGTCTATTTAATAGTGGCGAGGTCCTTGAAAATGCAATATCCATGCTAATCTTGCCTTTTTCTAAATCAGAAATGAAAAATAGGTCAGGAAGGTAGAACCTTCCCCTTCCATTTAAAATGTGACATTTAATCTATTTAAATAACTAAGTAAACTTTATTAATCCAGGATTTGGTAAGCAAGCTGAGGAAGCAGGCACTGCGCGACTTTATTAAGACGGCGAAGTGTGAGAGGGAGCGTCCTTGAACTCCAGGTGCAATAAAACCCCGGGTTTCTCGAGCTTC